GGCTAGTCTTAAGAATGACAAATATTGTTAGTCATTAGGGCTAGTCCTGAGATTAAATAACAAATATTGTTAGTCATTAGGGCTAGTCCTGAGATTAAATAACAAATATTGTTAGTCATTAGGGCTAGTCCTGAGATTAAATAACAAATATTGTTAGTCATTAGGGCTAGTCCTGAGATTAAATAACAAATATTGTTAGTCATTAGGGCTAGTCCAGAGGTGACGTAACAAATATTATTAGTCATTAGGGCTAGTCTTAAGAATGACAAATATTGTTAGTCATTAGGGCTAGTCCTGAGATTACGTAACAAATATTATTAGTCATTAGGGCTAGTCCTAAGATTAAATAATTTTTTTGTTTATTAATAACGTTTAGGGCTAATCCTGAGATTACATAACAAATATTGTTAGTCATTATGACTAGTCCTGATATTACATAATTTTTTGTTTATTAATAATGTGAATTTAATATTTATAAGCTAAAATATTTAATTTGAAGCATTTAAATCCCATTATGCATGTCTTCTTGAATTTATGTTAACTTTTTTTTTTTTTGTATCATAACAAGTTTTGTCTGATATTTTTCTGCTGAGCTTTGATTTTAAATGTAAAATAGAATAAAGCTCATGTCACTGTTCTCACAATTATGAATGCAGACTAATTTTATTTAAACATACAGACTAATGTTATACAAACATACAGACTAATTTTATTTAAACATACAGACTAATGTTATATAAACATACAGACTAAAGCTAAAAAGGAGAAATGAAATGTTTTGTGTTTGTTAAACTAATCCAAGTGATTTTATGGTTGGTCTTGTACAATGGGCTAAACAAAGTCCTATAATTCTGTAAATAAACTGAATTGTACACAACTTACAGTACTGTTTCTTCAGTACTCTAACTTACAGTTCTGATATCTTCAGTAACAGTTCTAGTATCTTTAGTACTCTAACTTACAGTTCTGGTATCTTCAGTACTCTAACTTACAGTTCTGGTATCTTCAGTACTCTAACTTACAGTTCTGGAATCTTCAGTACACATCACTAAATCCACTAACCATTCATATTTGCATGTGACAAATATCCTCAAACGTAACTTTTTTAATGAAACTATCTACACGCCAGAATAATAAAATATTTTGTAAGTTTGTGCATTAAGAGTTCCTGTTTTAACAATAGCTTTAGACAGACATACTGATCATCATTTAGGTTACTATTGTAGCTTGTTGTAGAGTACTTAGATCACAAGTGTTCTTTATGATTCCCTGAAATATCCAGTAGGTTACCTAGAGCCATTCTGGTGTTGATACTGTTAGTCATGGATAACCAAATATACATATCAACAACTTTACTTTATACCCCTATATACTCAAAAATGTTGCATTCTGGACTTTTAAAATATGGAACCATAAAACATCTGAATATTTTAACAATGATTTATAAATGAAGGAAAATGATAAATTCTATGGCAACTAAATTTTACCAGAGAAGTGGTCAAATAATGTTTATAGAAATATGTGACAGATCTTACAACAAAGAACAAAAAAGGTTTTACAAAATCTATAAATAGACAGACCCAAACTGAAGCTGTTATTTTTCATAATTTCAATTGTATGTATTCAATTTTTTGTATATACCGGTATATTGTATATTTTACTACGCTTTTTCTCATAACCTATTTGTCCATGTTACTAGCATATCCAACATTCTATTTTCTCATAATGTACGTGTAAATGTGACTGGCATATACAAGATTCTGTCATGCTCTCCTTTCCTTGAGCACATTTACTTCCTGCCCATGACAGCATTTATCTCATCAAAGTCTTGAACTCATTAAAAGCAGGGCTGTTTTGCTGTTTAGTTCAAAAATTGAAGAGCTATTTGTTTTGTAATCTGTGGGTGAGGTGATTGTACAAATATTATTCTTAAAACACACTTTGTTGCTATAACTATTTAATGGAGAGCTTGTTATCGTAATGCTTATCTAAGGTGTTCGTCCTGAGATGGTTGCCACAAGGTATTGTCTTAATATTTTGCTATGCAACAGAGTTGATAAATTTATTATTTTCATGATCACCTATAAAAATAAAACTTTGAATAGTGTCCCCGTTTTTCTCTGAGCTCAACTGTATCAATAAACATTTTTGTCTTCTTCCATAGAGCGGCAATTTTTTAAAATGGAATGATGTGTTAAGGACTTTTTTTTATTCTTAAATTTCAGGAAAATCCCCTTCAGTTATGCTCAACTCAAAGTTATGCACTCATGCCATATTATGCACATGTCATATTTGCACTCATGTCTTATTGTATGGATCATAATGTCTTGTGAGGGAATCTGTAAAAACAAGTGCATACAATTTATGGTTGAATAGTGATTTTCTTTTATCATTGTGATTTCCATTGTGAAGATGAGTGATAGTGATAATGCTTTTATGCTATGAATAATTTTCAAATTGTTGATTTTGTTACATATTACATTTTAACCAAATCTGCACAATTATCTTTTTATGTTAACATCTAATATTCTTTTTTTTTTTTTTATTAGCAAGTCAGGTGGGTTTTTTTAAATTGGTGAAAGTTCAAATCCTTCTGGATTGCTTCTGTGTGTGATTGTCAACTGTAGACGTTGTTAAAATACTTCTTCAAAATCTAACATTTATTTTGATATTTATTAATGAAAAAGATGAATCACTAAATCCATGTAACACTTATTGTGGCTTCCCATTTGTTTTGGATAGATTTATCAATTTGCATTGATGAAACACATTAGGTCAGTGACCATGGCTATTATTTGATTTTATGTGTCGCTGTAAAATAATTAACCACACCTTATCAATTTGATGTTTTTCATCTCAATTAATAACATTTGGTTTAACACTTGGTCTTGTTGACCCCTGTAAATCCATTTTGTTGCTGCTTTTTAAAAGTGATGAAAAAATTTGTTGAAATGTGATTCTCTTGTAATGAAGTGCTAATGTTGCTGTTAATTGTGATAAATTTGTGTAATATTTGCTTGTGCATTACAGACATTTCTTTTTCAAATGAAAGTGTGATGACATCATATACCTTCAATGATTCATCAAGTCTTTGGTTGAAAGCTATCTGGAAATAATTTACTGTGCCTGCGCATTCCATGCCATGTAGTGTGCCTGCGCATTCCATGCCATGTAGTTTGCCTGCACATTCCATGCCATGTAGTGTATGCCATGTGCAAACAGACACAATTTCAGCCCATGTAATGTAATTGTAATCAAAATACTCAGACAATATTTTTTTCTTTCATTTTTGTCATCATCTTGACCCACTTTTAACATGACATGCTTTTACTTCAAGGCATGATTTGTACGGAACTAGCACTTTGCACTTTTCCATCAAGTTACTTGGTTTGTAATATATTGTAAAAAAGAATTTCATTGTGTGGTTGCTGAAAATAAAACTTTAGTAGGCAGAAGGGAAATTCTGTGTGAATTTTTATCTCCAGGTTATGAATGCCAAGAAATATAGTAAAATAATCAAAGTACAATTGGAAAGATATTCATAACTGTCCGTTACTGGTACTCATTTATCTGAAGGCATTCATTTCTGGTGTAGAACGTTGTGCGTGCATGTATTGTTTATATCCTTCTTGTAATGTATTTGGACCCCAGCAGTGGAATATCACTTTCTGTTGCGCCATGTGGTTGTTGCAATTAAATAATTTTACACTTGATTTGCACTTCTTTTCTATTATTTGACAAATTATTATGTTTAACAAACTTATTGAAGTTACACAAATTGTGGTACAGATGCTACGCATATGATCTCTCAAACTTTAAGCGTGAACTTAAGTATCTTCAATCTGAAAAATACTAAACCATTTAGTAGTCTTGACAAACCTAACAACCTGACAATCATTATGATGACACAACAGTCACCAGAGTGTTTTACTTAATTGCAAAAGAAGCAGCCGTTTAAATATGAAACATTTTACAAAACTGCACAATTATGCAAACAATAGTTCTGCTAATGCCTCACACAAAAACATTTGATGTTTAAAACAGTTTCCAATTAAAAAATATTTATATGATAAAAAAAATATTAGGCTATATTTTTTTCTAAAGTTTTACAAATACATTTTTGTGTCCAGGGTAATGAATTATATTAAGTTACTATGTAACACTGTAACACCTTTATTCTAAATCTATAGAGTCCTGCAGTTTTTATTTGTATAGAAAAATGCTGCACCTTTCAGCTTTATGTTTTTAAAGAATTAACTTTCATCGACTTATTTGACTTAATATTTTTATTATACCTTTCATGCATTTTTATTTTCATAATTAAAGCGTAAGCATTTCAACCAAAGCCATTTTGACTATTTTATATTTTATTTAGCATATAATAATTTTCACAGAAAGCTATTTCCACATCACTTTTTTAAACAGAACCGACATTTAAAACACCAAAAACAGGAAAATAAAAATACATCATGTAATCTATTTTAAAAATGAAAAGAAATTGTCGAAATTGTTTAATTTAATTAACTGCTTACATCTGTCAGTTGCTTGTATTTTAGCAGAAGTTTCAGTGTAGTTTGTGCCACAGGTTTAGCACATTGTCTCATAGGTTAACAACACAGTAATATCCCTGTTGTGAGTATCGGTACTCACAGTAATACCCCTGTTGAATATCAACTTACTACTACTTCAGCTCAGCCAGTGGACCATAAAGAACCACGTAAGGAAAATGTTGTTACAAAAAGGCCAAATTTTTCACTGTGTAATGTTTTTAAAGCGAGACCTAGAACTGGAAAAAACAAAAGAAATTGATCTTGTCTTACGGTACAGTACCAAGTACGGTACTTTTAATTAAAATTCATCATGTACATAAACATTTTATTATTATTATTATTATGCATCTTATTAGCTGCAATGTAGCTGCCTTTGCTGTTTGAAGATAGCCTCACTCCAAGACAGCCCAATAATCTGAGCATAGTAAACAAAAAAAATAGCTTGACGATGCACTCAAGAATCACAAGCAGACGATGCACTCAAGAATCATAAACAGACGATGCACTCAAGAATCACAAGCAGACGATGCACTCAAAAATCACAAGCAGATGATGCACTCAAGAATCACAAGCAGACGATGCACTCAAGAATCACAAGCAGACGGCCTGGGGATTTACAGTCTCAATTTTGAGAATAACCTCACAGAACACTTCTTGCCAATGGTTACATTCTTTCCATTGGAAAAACCAGTCTCTTACTTTCAAGGTCAACAGGTGGAATAAATTTTGTGGAGCTGAGAAGGAAAATATGACATGGGACTGCTCAGATGAATCTTTTGTTAAATCCTTGTTGGAGAGGTAACCTTTCACTTGGAATAGAGTAAGTGAATGACTGGTCAAGCAGTTGTCTTCGCCAACACTTCTGTCATACCAGTAAACAATGGGGTAACCTAGCAACAATCCAAACAAAGTAGGTACATTCAGTTCCTCACTTATCTCCATGTTATTAACAGACATGGTCCTGTCATCATTAGGGCAAACTTTACTGAGGAACTCAATTAAAACCTCCTTGGTTTTTAGAACTTTCCCTTCGTTGATAAGAGTTGGTTGTTTTAAAGTTGATGTGATATCAACAAACAATACAGAAGAAATGTTTACAGAGAATGTGTGTTGAAATGATTTCTCATTGTAAATTATAACATCAACACCAACTGCTAGCACTCCAATAGGGTTTTTAATCAAACCTTGGTTGTGTAAACTAGTTACAAAGTCGATCATTTCTTTGGCACAAACCAACCAGCGATCAAACAGGCATGTCATCTTTATGCCGTGATCCACCATTTTGAAATCTAAAACTGCAGACTTCCATGAATTCTTAGCTCTCTTTCCAAATATCCTGACCAACGCATTTTTCCAGACTTGTATATCCTGCTGCATCTTTATTTGAGAGTATAGAATATTATTAGTATTAGTTTTGCAGAAAATTATAAATTATAGAGTTTTCAAAATTAAGGAGTGGTAAAAAAATTGATTGAATGAGCATAGTTAATTGACAGGGATGTTCACATCCCTGACAGGGATGGCAACATCCCTAATAAAAAATGTCATCAAAATATTTAAAACCTGGTAATTCAAACAATCATTTAAAATAATTTTTACATGGAAGCTGTCAAATGCAACATTGATCTAATATTTTTGAGATCACATGCCATCAAATTTGTTAGGAAGTTTACTTAGAAACATATTTAAATCCCAAATAAGAGAATTAAATCACTGTTTTAAACATGATGAATTGCTTTTTCTTGGTCCTTAAATTGTTGATATGAAATTATGATATAAATAAAAAGTAACTGCCCAAAAAAGAGCCTGGAAGTCAAGGTAGAATTCAGCATTTCAAGGGAAGAGAAATTATTGTGGCCTTGCCTTTGTTTTTACTTGCTTCACCCTTTCAGATTTAGAGCGAAAATTTGTTATTTTATTGAGTTGCTAACTTAGTTTTGGACCCAAATTTACTCCTAGCCTGTAGCCCCAAACAGACTTTAAACTTTAACTTTAAACAAATATTAATAAAGTTGATGATTTCACTAAATATTAGTATATTAAAAGCACAATTTAGACCAAGGGTTCTTAATGTTTTTTTGCAGCAACTCTTGATTTCAATACATTTCTGGCATCCCAATCTGATCTCAATTGCATAACCATTTCATTTTCCCAGCATTACAACGTCAATAAATATGCTAATAAAAATGCAAATAAACCTAATTTTCTTGGTCTCATCGCACCCTCTTACACCACACCCCTGGTTAGCACCACACCCTTGGTTAGAACTCTGCTCTAGACAATCTAGCAAAGTCTAGTGTAGTCTTATAACTTTGATTTTAAAATAAATATGACCTGTTGCGCTTAACTGTTTATTAAATTAATTAATTAGCCTATGCTGTGATTTATATAATATATAACCTTACTGCACTGGGGATCAGCGGTCAGGGGGCATATACAGAGGAGAAATAACAACCAAATTTGAAATATTTACGAATTGTTCAGTTTTGTTTTGAAAAAGGTCATTATAAATAAACACTTATAGCAGTGTTACTCAGTGTAGATTTGAATGAAAATATAATTATGTGGTTAAAATTAAAAGATTATAAAGATTGTATAAATTAAGTTATTTTGTTTAATAAATAAACTATTATTCATCATCATCAAGTCCCTTAGTCCTTGTACCGTTGGGGCGCCACAGATGACATGTGAACTATCCTCCTCCATTGATCTCTGTCTTCTGCACTGCACAGCATCGCCGCCATCGCCCAGTGTTAGTCCTGTCCACTCTTTGATCTTATCCTCCCTTCTTTTTTTTTTGTCTTCCTCTTCTTCTCCCTCCTCTTGTGGTGCCCTGCAATATTTCGTTGGCAAGCCCTTGTTTCCTTGTTACGTGACCGTACCATTGTAGTTTGCTTTTTTCACAGTCACCAGTAGGTCATCGTACAGTTACAGTACGGCGTCTGTACGGCACGGTGTACCAGTCTACAACTACAGTTATTGTTAAACTTATGATTACCCTAATTGGTCAACTCTCCTGGTATTTCTCTAGAGTAAGAATCAGACATCATATTTTCTTTACACCTTAACTCCCCTACTGACTGTAAGAAACATCGTAAAAGAGTGTCAAATAATAATTTTAATCTTTAACTTAATATTTAAATCCAAATTACCATTTAACAGCATCAGCTTAATTATTTATTTTCGTAAATTTTAGCGTACTCTCCCTTTGAATCAGGGCTGCCACTCACTTTTTTAAATTTCCCAAGATTTGGTCATGAAATTTCCCAAGATTTCCCAAGATCATAAACGTATTAGGTACATCCACGAACGAAATTTTTTTTTATTTTCGGGGAGAAAAGATCGCTTGGGTTGGTTCCGGTTCGTTTACCGTTTAGTTGGAGTTGGTTTATTACTATGGATAGCGAGGCTGAAAAAGTTTTTGACTCAATGAAGGTAAAGGATTTGAAATCACACCTTCAATCTAAAGGTCAATTACTTAGCGGGAAAAAGGATGATTTGATAAAGAGAGCAAAAGGGACTCATCGCTAGTTCGAGAACACAAATTTTGCGTGTAAGTATAAAACATGGCATAGTCAATCATAGTCAACTGGTAGAATTATTTTTTTTTGATTCCATTCATTTTTTTTTAGTACGTGACATAAACTGCAACGGCTTGATTAATAGTACTACTAATTAATATGCCTAATGCTAAATTTAAGTATATAGTCTGAATGATATAGATAAGATATTAAGCTATGTTTTTACATGTTACACGGCCTGACACTAGTACTAGTTTCGCTAACACTAATTTTACTAATACTAGTAAAATAAACTATTAATTGATAAATTATCAATTTAAGCAGACCTATCAGTATGAATATTAGCATTATGCTAACAAAATCTACAGGCTAAGTTGTATAAATACAAATGACTAATAGTATTAGTAGTAACTATTAACTAGTCTATGCTTTATTACGCTATAGCTTAGTGACTTTTTAGGCTGTAAACTTTAACAAACATTATTTGCAAGTTGATTCTAGTTAAAAATAATTAAACAATTCACGAGACATGTGTCTAACCATGTGATTTTGTTTAGATCAAGACTTTACAGTGCAGAAGCAAGATTTGGTTGGTGTGGAATATTTCCATGTTGCATCACTGCAAAATTGGATGGACGTGGAAGATGTGATCATGTCAGAGTGGCCTAACATAACAGAGAAAGAACTGTTAAATTATATGGTGTGCAGCAGAGAAATTGATTATACTACTAGGTATGAAAAACATTTTCTTTAAAAAAATATTTTAACCAATTTTAATAATGACGCAAGTAGATCCTAAAAATGTGTTAAAACCAAATTGTGACATTTTAAATATTTGGGACACTTCCATGTTTAAAATATAAAACGCAATTTGAAATTTTTAATGTTATCCGTACTTATTTCAGTGGATGAGACTTACACCATCCTTCGAGATAGATATCAGCACAAGGGAAAAGGTAGACCTAAAGGCCTGCCAAAAGAGATTGTCGCAAACAACAGGATACTAGTGCAGTTATCATACATCAGAGAAGAAGGAAATCATCCATGGTCACAGGCAAGTAATTTCAGCATTAGCAATTGATAACAATTACACCAAGTGCTGCATGCTATGTAAGATGGTATGTATGATAGGCTCTGTGGTAGTATATTTGAAATACCAGTTGTTAACAAATTCTCCTTATTCCCAGGTTGCAGATGAATGGATTGCAGACATTTTTCCAGACTCCAGATTGATGAAAGGATCCCTTACTCGTTTTCTTAACCTGATAAATGCTGCTAGGAGTTCATTTATGACATTGCAACCCAACCTCAGGGAGGACTTCCTCAACAAGGAAATTGACTTAAATTTTATTTCTCAGGCTTGTTCTAGTGTGGGCATAACACGCATGAATTATTCAACTCCTCTTGGTAAAACTTTTGATCCTCCTGTAAAAATCTTAAATGGCTTAGTTTTAACCTGTTACTTTTTAGCAATTCCCAGTCCTTGAGTAAAAAGTTGCTGAGTATAGAAAAGTTACCATACGCCATTGAACCTTTTAAAAGGTACACTATTTTAAATAAAATGGCACACAGGAATCCTGCAGCCTTGAAAGAATATATTGAATCTGAATTTACTTTGACTGCAATACAAAGTTTTCCAGATGGCAATAAGTGGCAGAACCTGGTGTGATTTTGTTATCTGGACAACAAAGGGCATTTCAGTAGAACGTATACATTTTGACAGAAATTTGTGGAATGTAATGTTAAAATGTCTGAAAGAATTTTACATTTTATATATTATTCCTGAAATTATTACTGAAAGAATTAAACGTCAGAAACTTCTATATTAACTGAACAATTCAAAATGTAAACATAAACTTCACAATTTTTTTAAAAAGTATCAAGTGAACCGATAGATAGATAAGTTTTTCCATGATGTTTTATTGGGCAATTTTATTTTCAAATGGAATAAATATGTACACATTTTTACAAGTAAATATTATATATAGCTACCTGATACTGGTATGTTATCTTTTCATAAAAAGATTTTTCATAAAAATATTTAAATGCCAGGTACCTTATTTATTTATTAGAAAATGTCAATACTGTTGAATACCGGTACTACTTCAGTTGTTTGTTTCATATTTAAATGTATGTACAACTTCATTAGGGGTAACCCCGACTAGGGCCTTCCATGTCATGTGAGACTTGTAATTACTATACATTAATAATTTATGCTGCAAAGATTCTGGACTTTGAGCTTCCAATTCAGTGCAGTCAATTATTATTCTAGTATTGGAGAAATAATTCTTAAAATTTTGTGGCAAAGTGTTTGCTATCTGCTCTTTTGTAGGCCAATAAATAAGACAAGACAATTTGCTGTAGAGCAAACAGACCCACTTTGAAAAAGCCCTAGAAGCTGTTGCTTTTGAAATGCTGAATCTAAATGCCAAGTCAAACATTGGCAACCCCATTTTCAGTCTAATAAGTGTTAGTAAAAACTCATCAACTGGTCTCATAACCCTTTTCCTATCTTTAAGATTACCGAGATGAGACATACATTCATCAAAAATTGCATTAAAAACCGCAGCATTGGGATACTAGTGTATAACCTAAATACCTCCTTTAATAAATGTTCTGGCCTTAAAGGTGCATAAAAGCCATAGTCTTCTGTTTGCATACTTACATTGTATGTTAAAACATCAGTTTGCATTGACACATCTAATTTATTTATGTGTGATTGTGTTTCAGCATTAGATATGTACTGACAAAAAGTTTTAGTATCTATTTTACCACAATAATCATGTAACATAACAGATACTCCTTGTATTGTTGATATAGCCTGATTAATAAAAAAAGTTTCTTTTTGAGTTGCCT